ATTCCGTCTAATTAGAACTATTCTTGAGAGTACTAATTGCATACCGTTAGTTTCGTATGATCTTTTCTTTGGCCATTCGGATCTTATTTGGGAAGTCACCTGGGAGCGGGAAGAGCCAGTCGCGGACAAGGGAGTCGTAGAAATTAGTGATGTTTGCGGGTGTTGTGCGGTTGGAAACATGATCGGGTATTGCTACATTTGAGGATGAGATATAAGAAATTGGTATATGAGTGACTTCGTATCCAGTGGGTAGCATATTTTGCATAGGATCCGCTAGTCGTGCCAAAAACTGGTCAAAATCGTGGGTATTTCGATCGATGTCATCCAAAAACGGAGGGGTCGGGACAATATCAAGCCTATATGTAAACGTGGTTAGAATTGCCATCGCTCGATACAAAGAGGAAGGAGTACACAAACATTGTTCTGCAGTTTGATGATAGTGGTGAATCGCCCAGAACCAGTTTCCCAAAGTTGCTATTCAAATCCTCCAGCCAATGGTAGAATGTTTGGGTTTTCTTGTCGGAAATAGTTGACTTCCCTCTGCTTCTTATTTGCTCAGTAACAGCCGCAGAAGCCAGCCCATAGATATCAACCCAGTTCTCAACATATGGAAATGCACGTATTGGCTGTCCCCGGGTATTTTCAATATTTGTATTCCAATTCCTCCGCTCATAGGATAGTGGTAGGACTACTTCATTCAAATCATCCACTATGAAATCATCATCATCATCACCAACACGTTTTGCACTCTTCTCGGTTTTCAACCGTGGTGGAGTGGAACTAAATGGCTCGTAAGTTTCGTCCCCACCATCTGCCCTCGCGACATATAAAGCCTCAATAACTTCCAAGTTGGAGCGCTGACCCATAAATTTGACAAGACTAAGGGCTTTGCCGTCATTTGTGGGATCGGCGATGCTGGAGTCTAAGATTGGCTGAAATATCAAAGACGAAAAATAAGAGTCTTCGGGCAAGGACTCCAAAAATTTCTCGTCATCGCTGCTGCCAGTAGGTAGCGGAAGGAAGAACGGATCAGCGACTGATACTGGAATGGATGAGTCCTCTGGAGAAAAGGCAAAACAAAAGACTTGTGCTAAACTGTTGAGTCGCGAGTACAAAATGAGGGAGAAAGCTACATTTATGTTAGCAAAATTCTTACAGGGAAACGTACCCAAGTCTAAAGGGGTTGAAAGACAGTACATTTTTGCACCAGCATTGGGGCCAATTGAAGGCTGGTATCTTCAGGATCCCTGAAATGGCGCCAAGAGAGTAAAATGGTAAATTCCCGACTATCTCCTCCCTGATTGCGTGATGAGGAATCATCGGAATTGACATGCAGCCAAAGTACCTGCGTTGTTGTAAGAACAAATATATTCGAGAGGTTGGACTGGCTCCTTTTAATGTCCAAAATCCACTCAGACTCCCGCTGAATATCAACGTCAATCGTATGGCGCTGCACGGGATCAGTGTCTATTCGATACAAGGCAATATTCCGTCTGTCGCAAACCAACAACTTATGGATATTTCCCACCCATAAAATAGCAGCCCATCCATCATAATGATCTCGTTGGAAAGATTCATCAGAATGTGGAGTTTCCTCTGGGTACAGCCTGCCTGATTGACCGCGGTCTGCACACCAATATGTACTATGGCGCTGCTTTCCTATATCCCAAACCGTCCAATTTCCTAAGCGATCGACAATCGCTATCTGTTGTTGATACCAAGGGTTAAACGTAATACCAGCGTGTGGGACACCGCCAGTTGCGGAAACGGAGATGCTAAGGATCGGATTAGCATCCAAACGGGTATCCGCCAGATTTTCACGCATAAAATTCATATCATCATAATGGGCAGAAAGCGAAAGCTTGTTCCGTTGGGGACGAAATACAATCGTGGACTGTATAAACCGCACAGCCAACCATGTACTTTTTTCATCCACAGTTTCCGCAAAGCATATTTGTTGTACAGGGCCAGCAGTCCCCACCCACCGCGCCCTCCCACGGGTATGGAAAGTAGGGATTTTAGCCAGGCGATCACTATCTGGGGGCCACGCGATTTCCTCATCTTCCAATTCCACAAGCTGAATGGACACAGCTGAATCACTACTAATGAGAGCTGCTATTGGAACCGTGGAATCGTAGCCGCCACGGCGGTCAAAGTTAATCGCATTTCCGACTGCTAGGAGGTTGGAAACTTGAGGATCGAACTTGGTCACAGCAGCAGTGATAGCACGAGATGATGCTTCATGTCGACGGAAAAGGTCCAATGCCGGAGCCAGTTCCGGCCTAATTTTCAACAAATCATCCTCGTCTTTGTTGGTCAACAACCCGCTGCTATTGTGGATCAGACTCCAAGCGCCCGACGGCTCTGGAGCAGCAAAGGCACAATTGACATGGCCGTAAAGGACGAGTGAAGGCACTATTCATTTTATATTAGCGATAGGGAATAGAATAAATATATTCAAAAGGCGGAATTTACCTCTATCGATCTTGCGCGAAAATTCCCATACTTGTAGATCAGGTAGATAAGTTGCAGTGCCCAAGTGCCCGTATTGTAGAATGTTTGTTCGATAGTCACCCATTTGCGCTTGACATTGGTTTCTGGAATGTGGGACATCATTTCGGGCCAAATGGGTCAGTCCACAATAAAGCTTTTTGGCAAGCTCGTTAATTTAATGTGCATCGGGGCACCAAAAAGAATCCCACGAGTGTGAAGATCAATGGTTTGAAGTCAGAGATAAAAAATCTGAGACTTCGCAAGATTTTAGTGAAGCTGACTACCCGATATAGTTAGCGCGGGCCCGCCGTTGCTGTCGCAACCTGACTTCAGCAAATCATCATGACAATC